GAAGTTTCCTTTGTATGTGTTACCGATATATTTTTCATACACAGATATGATACCACTTCCCATGGAGACATTCCATCAGAGGACTTTCTGTTTGTTCACCAGACCACCTGGCAAAAACGTCTCTTAAACTTGTATGGGAGAGACATTTGCATCATGGATGCCACATATAAGACCTCAAAGTATGCCCTTCCTCTTTTTTTCATTTGTGTGCAGACTAATGTTGGGCATTCCATTTGTGGTTCTTTTGTTGTTGCTACGGAAACAAAAAAGTCTATTCAGGAGGGCTTAAGAAAAATTAAGGAATGGAATCCTAGCTATTTCATGACTGACTATGATGAAAGGGAAATCCAAGCAGTTGAGGAAGTATTTGAAGGTAAAAAAAAATATGTACCCCAGTATATTATGGTGATATTCTACAAGTATATTTTATCACATTGTAAACCAAATATTTTAATCACTGAAATCCTCTGATACCGTATAAGTGGAAATTTTAGCGAGACGCAAATTTAGCGATTTGTCCTTAAAAACTGGTAATCTATTTTTACCGAGATTTTATTTTAGCGTTTTTAAAATGCATACTAAAGAAGCTATTACAAATAAAACGCAATTAATTTTTAGCGAGATTCAATTTTAGCGATCTCGGCACCCTTGCTAATAATGCCAAAATTAAATCCTCGCTAAAATTTCTACTTATACGGTATTATGTTTAATTAATGAATTGCTTTTTTAACAGACTGTACTGTATATTTGTGTTCTGGTATAGGGAAGTATTTCCTTAAGTGACTTTGTTATAACCAAGATTTACTGTAGCAAGATTTTTTATTCACAAAAAATAATGTTGTCAAGTTGGACAATATTTAGTAACCTGGTTACTGTCTTCATCTTCCGATCGAGTACTAATCGAAACAATATGATCCATTACAATGTAATCACTAGATCAACAGTGTACCTAAAATTAGTGAAATGTTTAGGACGATTAAAAAGGTACTCATTAACAACATCAAAAAATGCAATGATTCTATAGTTTTCATTATTTTTTCTTAACTCTTTACAACTTATTGAACTGTTATGCAACAGACGCATAATGTCCACGTCATAGAAGTAGAAATTTACCATTTCCCCGCAAGCACCATTTAGCGTGGTACACTTTTCTCTAAAGTTTAGCGTAAATAATATTCTGACGTTATATCTTAATCCAAAAATAACTTTTCTTATTTTATGAAATTTTTGCAAATATAAAATAGAAGGAAATCGGCAATGAATTAAAGATTAAATGTACTTTTTAAAGTGCGTGAAAATGCGTGATTGCGGGGAAACGGTATATGCGTGATTTTGCGTTAGAAATTGGAAATGGTATATGCGTTAAAATGCGTGACTGCGGGGAAGGGGGTTAATATAAATTTTTCTTTTCAGAGATGGGTTAAAACCTTCAGAGAAAAGACTTACAACATAAGAATGACAACAACAAATGGCTTAGAGAGAAAACATCAGGAGTTCAAAAGAGGCTACCTGTCTCACTACAGTGAAGGTAGTCTTTGTACCATGATTGCGACATTGGTCTCCAATTTCTTACCAGACAGTTATAGGAGGAATTTTATTCTTATATTTCTCTTTTTCATTTTGAATGGGGATTTAATGTGACATACAATGTAGTTGCAAACTTTGAAAGATTATATGGGTTTGGACTATAGTGCATGCATGCAGTACATGCAAGGTGAATTTAATATACCAGGTACATACCGTATAGTGGTTTTTCTTGGCTGGTGTAAAAGTTGGTGTTTTATACCTGCTCAAAGGTATGCTATTAATTTTGGCGTAATTTATTTTAGTGAACTCAGAGTTTCAGCTCTTTGCAGATGAACACTTAGAAGATAACTTACTATTCTAGCAATTAAAATTTTAGCGAGCTACCCTCAAAATGCCAAAATAAGTCAAAATTAGCATCCCGCTAAAATAACCCGCTATACCGTACTTCTCTGGTTAGATGAAATGTTGAAAAGAGTATACATTGTACATGTATTTTAAATAAGGTATGGCAATGATACAGTTTTATTTTATTTTGCAGTTATCTCAATTACAATATCCAGAGTTTTGAGTTTTGCAAGAAGTACTCATCAAGTGTGCCAAAATTTTTACACAACAAACCAAGGGGCTTGTTGAACACTGCATCAAAAGAATTCCTCCTGAAATTCAAAACATACCCATAGAAAATATACAGGAGGTTGAAGACAGGGCTTATGCTGTGCATAGTGTTGACTCCAACAACATATATCGGGTGATGTTTTCAGACACTGAACCTACATGTACCTGTCTTGACTACTCGAGACATCATTTGCCATGTAAGCACATGCTTGCAGTGATGATGTCATTACCAGAATGCAGCTAGGATAACCTTCCTGATGGATACAAGACCTGTCCACATTTTACTTTGGACCAAAGCATCATGCAGCAGTGCATAGATAGCATTCCTGACAGTCCAAATACATCTCTGCAAGAAGATATACCAGCTCTGCAAGATGATATACCAGCTCTGCAAGATGATATACCAGCTCTGCAACATGATATACCAGCTCTGCAACATGATATAACCAACACAAATAGTTCACTAAATCAAGACACATCACAGGAAAAAAATCCGGAAAAGACATGCCAAAAACAGCCAGATATACCCAAAACACCACTTCATGTTCTTCTACAGACTGCCTTAGGTGGACTGAAAGATATACAGTCTGACTTGTACTTGATAAATGATTGTCTAGACCTCCAGGAAATATCTACCAAAATAAGAGAACTAAAATTACTTACAGCATCAAAAATTAAAAAGGACTCAGGCTTACCACTCAACGCTACAGACAAACGTATAAGACCATCCTTAAAAAGAAAATCAGGGAATCTACCAGTAAGAAAGAAATACAGGAAATTAAATAAAAAACATTGTGTCCAGTTTGCAGAAGAGGATGATGTCATAATTATTGATGGGACATATGACATGCACAGCAATCAACATAGGAACCATGAGAACCACACCGTTGTTACCGAACAAAGCATGGCAGGTATCAAAACACAGAATGTCCAGTCATTGATGTAGACACACTGTGGAGGATCAAACCCTCAAGATTATTTAGTTGCAAGAATTGGTAGTTTTAAAGTCACAGACACCTCCATTGGGTATTTAAAGACTTCTCTATCTGATGAGGTATATTTTTTTCATATTTGAGTTTACTGTCTTTTTCTGATTAAATAAAATTTTACTAAAACAATTGTATAATGCACAAAATGTATTTTTAGGTAATAGATGCATACTTGTATCTTCTAACACAGACAAAGAAGGTAAATCGTAGAATTTATAGCTCTGATTTATGTTAATATATTTTATAGTTAATAAATCCCTTTTTTATATAGTAGTATCTGGAATTTGTTTGATATACACTGTATTCATAATTTATGGTTTTCATATTTTAAATTTTGCCTATTTGGAATAATATCACAGAATAAGAAGCTTCTGGCCATTGATTCATCAGTTGCAACACACATATTTCAAGGAATATATCAGAAAATTTTCATGGGTTCATGACATACTGTAAAAGCACAATTAATAGTGGGGGATTAAATTTCGTTTATTTCGTTGTTGACAAAATTCAACGAAATTAAATCCCACACGAAATTTTATATGACTATATATTGAATGGGGTTAGTTCTACAATAACGAAATTAAATGCACACGAAATTATTTTTCATGACAACACAACGAAATTTTATGCCCATGAAAATTTGTGCTTCTACAGTAGGTAACTTTCACACATTCTTACTATCTCTCTCTCTCTCTCTCTCTCTCTCTCTCTCTCTTAATGAAAACATTGAGTATTATTAAGAAACTTTATAGTTAATTGACCTTAATATTTAAGCTTTTACTTTGAAATGATAATCAATTAATATTTTTCATTTTGGACTTGCAGACAAAATTCTCCAGTTACGATATGATTCTTGCTGCAGTCACTGGACACTTATAGTTTGTATACTAGTTTTTTAAAACTATTAAATCTCAATTTAAACTTGATATATGAGTAACTCTATTAAAATTAGACATTTAGTTCTTTGTATATTTCATATACATGTGTAAGGTAAAGGATTTGATTTTAAATTACTTTCAAGATATGCTGTGCTTTTGCAAGATCATTCATATTGATGCTATTGTCTGAGGACAGTGACCAAACCTCCCCACCTACAATTTAAATTAGAAATTCTCATAAAATCCAAATTTAATACAGTTAGATACCTCTGCATTTATATGTCTTTCCTTCCACATTCAGGTGGTGTACCCAAGTACGAAGAAACTGGTTTACATTAATCCACTTGGTGAATTAAAGAGAACTATGAAAGATATTGGAGAGAAATGGAGGTAAATATAATATTAAGATTGCAACACTGTTATTTTTGTTTTTATTGAGAGCACATTGTCTAGCATAACTAGACAATGTGCTCAATATTGAAAATGTCATTCTTGCATATGTATTAGTAATTGTAGAGATTATATAAATCAGAACTGAAATTTGTGAAAATTTTGCCTCCCAAGAAAAGTAAATGTTTAATTGTATCGCAAAAACAAAATGTTATGAAAATTTAGTGTCCTGCTGTAGTTTTAATAAGTGTTACATTCTATTTAACACTGCATTGTATGGTTATTGGTTTTTATATTTTGGTTTAGAGAGTTCCTACTTGGTAGAGTGAGAAGAGGTATTGATGAAATTTCAGAGGATGGCTGGAAAGTGGAAACAACAAAACATACAAAGCAGTATGATTCTAATTCCTGTGGAGTGTATGTTGTAAAGATGAGAAATATTGACTAGATCCAAACTCTCAATGCCTATCTTAATCTGCATGGTGAAGTATTTACTGAATGAAAAAAAAACCTGATATGTTTTACTCCCTGCAATCAATATTTGATTTTTGGAAATGACTTAATTATTACCCTATTATAATAAATTTGCTGTTAAATTTTGCATTTTAGTTTGCCGAGCTAGTCATATCTGATTTGCCTCTAACATTTAGTTGTCGTCCAGGTAATCTGTATCAAATTAGACAAGGAATTGGGAACCAGCTTTTGCAAGCCACAGGTAACTGTATGATAGAACCTCCTATGTAAATCCAGAAATATTTTATAACCTGAAGGGGAGGGAGGAATATTTTGAAAAAAACTTTTTTATGCCCACGGATCAAAAGATTCCGAAAGTATATTGTTTTGTCCAGTTTGTCTGTTTGTCTCTCTGTCTGTCTGTTGTCAACTTGAACTTGGTTTTAGACCTACTTTTACCAAAAATACCACACTTTAACCTTGGCCAAAAGTTTTAACAAGTTGAAGCTATAGGCCTTTCATCCGTCACATTGATATTCATTGTGATAAGACCTTTCAACTGGTAGAAATATTTTTGACCTTGACCTAAGAGTTTGACCAAGTAGTAAAAAAAACTTCGAGTATTCCTTGTAACAAGACCACCTTTTGAGTGCAAATACTTTTGACCTCGACATTTGTAGTTTGACATGCATTTGACAGAATTCAACCCTTGCCATATGCTGCAATGGGGGCCATCAGTGTTTCACAAATACATCTTGTTCTTCATAAGGGGTTTGCTTCCTTGTTCATGCATATACTTAAGAAATAAAATATCATTTTTAGAGTGTCATTGGGATATGACATGAAGTTGGTCATGTGATCACGTACCAACTTCATGTCATATCTCAATGACACTCTAAAATATGATACTGGGTATTTTATTTCTTATATTTATATTTTTATTTCTATCCACATTACAAAGAAAAATGCAATATTTAGACTTTGTTTTTGAAATTCAACATAATGACGTCATGTGACGTCACAATCTAGATTTTCCAAATGTCTCGCACTATTTGCTTTAAGTCTGATCATGTGACCGACTGCATGTCATTGAAAATTGAATGTCAATTCGATTTCTATAGTCATATAAGGAAAGACATCAGCAAATGTAAATATATGTGTATAGCTATACTTACCAGAATCCATTTTTCTAATAAAAATGGGGAAGCTAGCAGCAAAGTCATTTTTGTATTAAATCTTTAAAATTTAGCTGTTAAAGATTTTTTATGAATAATTTTTTTGCCCCCCTCCCCCTAAATAGCCATGGTTTGGACCCCATTGTCCTCCCTTCTGGGTTCACACACTAAAATATCTAAAGAAGGGTTTTGAAAAATATTTAAAGAAGGTTTAAAGACAATAATTTGATTTGCAGAGCCCTTGTTTGAGCACTGCCGAGCGTGCAGTCTTCATAGAGAAGCAAGACAAGATGAGGATTGGGTATGATTTTTGTTCTGAAATGTAATTCCTAAATGTTTCACTTGGTAATATTAATCTAGACTTATTTTAAATTCTTTAATGATCAAAAAATCTCTTGCAGATAGGATGTAAGAAATGTGACAAGTTCTTTCACTATGGGTGTATAGGAGTGTCTAATTTTATTTGTGGAATGTGTTCCTCGCTTGATCAACGTTCTGTGAATCTGGAGCCTAATCTGAGAAAAGATCCTCCGAAGGTAAATTACTTTACCCAGTGCATAATATAGCTTGAAGTGTTGAGGTAAATGTTTGTGTCTGTGTAAAAGTTATGATTTTGCATATTTTGCATCATTCACCACCTGATAAATTTTATTTCAGAAAAAGAAAAGAAGTTCTTTTTTATATAGTGATTTAAGGGGAAGGTAGCCAAATTAAGCTACATTTTGCATGGCATTTAATTCAGTTTTGAAAATTTAGAATTAGTTGTTCAGAATGTATTTTCCAATGATTTTGCATGATGTTACTTTTGACCATGCACTCCCGTGACTTCCCTTATTGCTTTAATTTGTATTTTGCTTACTTTTAAAGACCCAATTTTTTTACCGTACGGTTACCGGAGGAGGGGGAGTGGTCAAAGTAACATTGGTGTTATTTACCTGGAGACCCCCAATACCCAGGAAGTCAAAAATCTGTATACACGTAGCATTACACAGGAAGTCTGTGTCTGGTGATCAGGGTCAACATTCCGTGTTTCGTGTCTAAATTTGAGTGAGACTACTTGAATTAATTGAAATATTTCAATATAAAATTTATTTATAAATACTTTCAGCGATATCTAATGTAGAAAATAATTATAAAGAAATGTCGTTTTTATATTTGAAAAAATGACAAATTAAAGAAAAGAACATAGAGTAAAATTACAAAGTAAACATATCTTTTTTTAATTAAACTTATGTAAATATCAAATTAAAAAAAATAATGAAATATTCCATTCATAGGTAGGCCTATCCGTCGTGTGAACATATACAATGTACCTTACCGCGATAGGAATATAATTCTGACCAACAATAGTGTCAAAAATATTCACCATTTCCGGGTGTTCGTGTGTTTAAAATTTATTATTGTTTGCAAGATTTTTTTTTTTTGGCTGTATATATTCATTTTAAATTTCGAATATTGGGTATTGACAGATGTTAGGAAATTCGAACTAAAAGTTACAATCTCGAAACTCGAAACTGTTTCTGACATTTCAGAATTTTACAACAGGACATTGTATAGATTGTATTCATATATAAGTAGGTAAAACATCGGATAAAGGAATTTTTTATCCGTGCCGTTTGTGCTAAATATCTTTTCCTATTTATCATATATTCCAATTTTAATCGACAAATAACCTTTCTCAACTTTCTGTGCACGGACAGGTCTAAATTCTATATCGCCTAAAATACAATATAGCCGTTGAGATTAAAAAAGCAAATTTTATTTTATGAAGTCATGTTTTATTTATCTACTCTCAATTATTTTTGAAATAAAATTTTACCAAGATTCTTTTTTTAACCACCGTGTATACAAGGCGGCTACATGAAAGTGTTTGACGCGTAACCAGGCAATCGTTTTCAGAGGACACAAACTCAGACTATCAGGTAGCACGGGAAGCTGGCCTGTCAATCAAATCAGAAGCTATTGTGTTTTTAATGATTGACAGGCGGTAAATTATTGATCTTGAATCAGGTAGATTTTGGGGGCGTTAACATAAAATTGGGTGTTTTAGGCTATCTAAATTTAATTCCTTGGTTCTCAGGCCAATTTTCTCCAAAACAGATGCGGGAGGGCGGCATTTTATTTTTCATTTTATTGGCAATAAAGTAGATGAGGGAGGTTTTTTTTTTTAAATTTTAATTTCCGAATTTTCTTTAACATAAAGATAATTTTTTAATCACAGATAAACTTTCCATTTCTGGTCAAATTCTCTACCTTACCCATTGCTTAACAGCGTGTAAACATCGTAGGTAATGTCCTCAAATGCATTTTCAAACGAAGTAGCCAAAATCTCATTGTAAATGGCTACCGGAAGTGATATTTGAATACTAAACTACGAAACAAATGAGGGCGGAATTTTTTTTCCCGGATTGGTCTCCGCAATACCTACTTTTTATTTTTTTAAAAATACAATAAAATCGGCAATGCGGCTACCTCAAAACGGATGCGCGCGGGCCTGAGAACCAAGACTTCAATTTTATTTAGCCTTAAGATATTTTTATTTAAGCATGCACTTACTGTAAACCAACTATTATTTGTGTGTGAGAAATATTTGTGTGTTCCATGAACTAGTACTTTTATTCGCGAATATTAATCACTGTGAACCAATAATTTTGATAAGTATTTGTAGAGAATGTTTTCTCAGTCACGAAAATTAATTGTAACTGATTGATTCTAAACTAATGAATCGCAAATAAAAAATGACGCGAATAATAGTTGGTTACAGTATACATAATTTGGTGAGAATTTATCATCTATATCCAGTTTTTAGCTCACCTGAGCCGAAGGCTGAAGTGAGCTTTTCTGATCACATTTTGTCCGTCGTCCGTCCGTCTGTCCAGCTGTCTGTCCGTCCGTCTGTCTGTTCTTACGAGAGGTACATTGTGGGGTAAAATTAACGTATTTTCCAGCAGTGTGGGGTTTTTTGGGTACTGTGGGGTTAACCCCATAATGAAGAGGTCTAATTACGTTCAAAATTACTCTACGAGGTCGAAAAACCTAAAATTAGATTTAACCTCACAAAGACTTTGTCCAAATTTTGGACATGTCCTTAGCCCAAAACGCTCAGACATTCAGAAATCTGCTGTTTAGAGGAGTTCGGTAATTGAATCGAGGAGTTCCGAATACCTGAGCATGCGCATATATTTAAAACTAACTGCGCATGCGCAGAATACGGAAGTAGCTGTGTTTGGACATTTTGTATTAGCAGTGAGGAAATTCGGAAACACAAAAAGCAAATGCAGTAAGTCTTACTATTTTGTTGCACCACATTGAAAAAAAGCTTTGTAAGTTGTTTGATATGATTCATATGTACATTATGCAGTTGTAGAATTTATTTAAAGTCAAGGAAAGGACACTTGTAGTCCACATAAACACATACCGATTGAAAACGGGCTTTTGTGAAAAAAATTATAATGAATGCACTGATAGTTCTTTTTTTAATCAGAGGTCTGCAATGAAAATCGACCGATACCCGGGGGTCGGGCTAGTGGTTTTCTGCAAGAGGGTCGCCCCGTTGGCCAGTAAAAAAAGATAATATTATTTATACACGTGCAATACATGCAAAGCACACCTGGTACGTATTTTCACTCGTTTTTTGCAACAAAAATCCAAACCATTTAAATTTTCCATATAACATGCTCCAACTGTCAATAAATCTCCATAATTTAATCCGTGTTGGAGTACTACTTGGCTTATTTACTTCAAAAAACGATCGTGTTTTTTTCTTAATTCGAATTTTCTCTATATCTATGGTAATTACATGCAGATATCTCATAACATAAATACATGTGATTCTTCCGATGGGAGACAAAATCTCTGGATTTTTCACGCCTCTTCCGCCCCTTCCGATTAATTTTTAAATCATCCGTGTTTAAATTTTTTTCAAATTGAATATTTTTGGCTTTAATTTTATCCTGTTTCGTAGTAAAATTGCTCTCTCTCTCTCTCTCTCTCTCTCTCTCAGTCATTCTAGATACGTACCAATTGTTTATCTACTCTTCACACATTTGTTTACATGTACTTGTCATCGTACCTTAATCTATAGAGAAAAAATCAGAATGGAAAAATGGAATTAATGTCACTGCAATAAATTTTCGCAGCAAGTAGGAATCAACATGGGGTTGTATAATTAGGTTGTAAAATTTAGTGGTATATCAATTTGATAAATGACAATCAATGTTTATAAATGAGTGTAGGACATTTTAATCAGTTGTTAAAATACCCAATATGTTACATTGCTTACACAGTCGCTTGTGTAATTATGTGCCGGATAAAAAAATTCACCTATTAAAGAAATTAAACAAATTACCTTTAGATACGTATATATAACTGTCTTTGTGTTAATGGAAAAAATATAATTGTCCTGTAAGATCAATTTGTACTTATTTTTCAAGATCGACCATTGAAAATTTAAAAGAATTAAATCACAATTAATAGTTTTTCTATAGCTAAACTTAAAGAAATTCAAGCTTAAAGCTTCATTTTGTAATTTACAATATTAATTCATCATTACTTTGAATATTTACAGTGAGAGTATGTAACTTAGCTAATACAGGTCTATCAGTATTTTCACACCTGTTAGATTTTGATTCCGTGTAGAAGCTCTAATTGCAACTCTTGTCAAAACAAATTATTTGTATAGCATGATTATCTCGTGAATTTCACCATCAGGAGACGATCGATAGGGATTAGTTACGCTCTGGTGCACTTGACACCTGTGTTGTAGTAGAATGATTTTAAACTGCGTTAATACAAATCTTTGGTCAATTGAATAATTTTTTGTGTGTGTCTGTATGTTAGATAGAAATTCTGACAGCTTTATAAAAATAATATTAAAAATTTACCAGACTTTAAAAACTTCAGCAAAGTAGTTGATCGAGGATTAATTGAAAGGGGGGGGGGGGGGGGGGGTTACACTGCTGATCATTACCTGAACATATTATAGTGAAGTTTTTAAATGAATTTTATTGACACTTACTGAAATAAATTTTTATACTTTATTTAATTCACCATTAAACTGTCTTTTAATTAAAGCTTTTATATTTTTTCTTATTAAAAAAATAGATAGTAGTAAGGCACATGTATTTCTTCTTGAATGATTTGAATGTTACAAAAGAACACTAAGAGTTCCCGAAACTAGTCAAAAATATGTCGGACAATTGTCTTGTAAATATTCAAAATTCACCGGACAGTTGTAAAATTTACCGGACATTAATTTTTTGTATGTAAATTTAACATATTATAGGATTGGAAATTGTAACGATATAATAAATGATATGTGTAAATAAAAAGATGGCAGATTAAAAAAAAAAAATTATTGAAATATTTTGTATATGGCCTTTGTATGCAGGATTTGACGTTGCCGAAGGCGTGTGATGACCAACGCTTAATTCATGTCTAAATTTATTATGTCCTTTCTGACAGATTTTTAAAATGTTTTTAAAAATAAAATCTGCAACATGACAACTCTTGGTTGATTGTTTGGAAAATATGTTGTTTTCCAGGCTTTTTTCTTTTGGATTTTTGTATTTTATGTGCCAGGAAAAATATTACGTAAAATATCAAACTCGTTTTAAAAAGCCTGGTAAAACGTCCGATATTTCTGACTAGTTAAAATTTATTATACAACCTCCATACAGTTAAAAATATGTACTAATGATATAAAGATATGCAAATTTATCATGAAAATGATGATTTTAAGTGAATTTGTTGTCGTTTTACTACATTCAAGTCAATCCGCTATTTTTAGAAAAGGGGAAAAACGCGCTTGTATTTTAAATGCTATCAAATACATTAGAAAAAATCCAGAAGTTGGTGTAATATTATCATGCTAATAGATTAAATTATAGAGAAAATAATAAATGGTAACAAATTGTCTGTAATCAAGCAGAAATAGCAGGCACTCTTGCAACCCTGCAAATTCGTCCTTCAAAACGAAAGTAGATTGTCACATTTTTTTTTACTGTCAGAACTACAGAGTGCATATATTTATCATGGAAAATATTTGTTGACAGGGTTTTTAAAACTGTTTTTCCTCCCAGACTTATGGAAATTATTATTTTAATATGTAGCTTTTTATAGTAGACAATCAACGTCTACATTTTATTTAAACAAGATCTGGCGATGCCCTGACGTTTTTTTTTTTCATTCCTTTAGTTTTGCATTTGTTTATTGTCAGGACAATTGAATTAAATGATTTTGTTAAGATTATATGTAAAGGTTATACAGTCTGTAAAAAAAACAAAACCATCGGACATTTTGACCAATAAAATTAAGATTTTACCGGTCCCATTCAAAGTTCACCGGGGATCCCCGGTGGACCGGTGCGTTTCTGGAACTCTGAACACTTATGAACAAAACCTTAAAAATTTAATTTGGAATTCTTTAATTTCATATTTTTTAAATAGGCATGGATTAATATATATATACACACATACAAAGGTTTTGTGAAATTGACATGTTTAGATAAATCAACTGTAGTGGTTATTGCTGTTTATTTATTGACTGACTGGCTACTTCTTGGGCAAACTGGAATAAGAGGCCACCTGTCTTAAGTGGCTAGTTTCTGGACTTCCCAAAGCTTAAAACAAGTTTGACTGTACTTTTTCACCTTTAACCAATATAAGAAAGTAGTTCACAGTACATGACAACTATGCTTTAAATAAATTTCGATGAATTTTAATTAGTAACTCGGAATTTTTGTATGTGATATAAATAAACATTTGCTTCTGTATTCCTTTGTAGAGTTCAGATACTGAAAGTGAACATCAGTGGAACTTTGATGATCTAGGCCGCTCTATTTTTGCAGCAACACCATCATGCGTCGGACATTCATAAAGTTGAAAGAACAAACCTATGACTTGAACACACAATTTGTGATCTGAATATAGTTCACAAATTTAAGGAAAGCAACTATCAAAGACATCCAGATTGATGGTTAGTACATGTTATAAGTGCCCATAAAATCAAGACAACAATATTATTTTACAATAAATTAAAACATAACCTGTTAAAAAAAAATTGAACATTATCATTTATAAATATATTTTACTGTATTTTTTTTTGACAGGTATACATGAAGTATGAATGAAAGACTTTTCAGAAGAACAAGCACAATCCCGATTCATTCTTGCCATTGTCTTCTCCAGACGGTGACATTTAGGACCTGACTTACTTTTCAGAAAAAGAAGATGAATCGATTTTTGATAGTTGATCTTAAAAAGATAACATTTTCAGGGGTCGTGGATTGAATGACATTTTCTTGCAATCTCCCATGCAGAGTTGTCGTTCGTTCCTCTCTCAGACACCTCTGCAATGGGCTCACGTCAAGATTTTTGACATAACGTATAAAACTTGATATTTGAAGAATTGTTTCAATTCAAATCAATAGTTCTGGATTGATTTAGTAAATATCTATCTAAAAATTCAGACATAAACATAGAAATTGAATTGTAATGAATTAAAACAAACGCACTATTTCTCGTGTTTAAAACTGTGTATACGCGAACCAACGACAGAGGTGAATGTATGAGCCGATGGTAGAGAGTGATTTTCTTGATGGGCAACTAGTTTCAAGTATTTGGATGTCTATTCTCAAGTTACTGCAAACCTTAAATTAACTTCTTGATTATTAGTTAAATGTGAGACCGTTTCTTACTTGAAGTAATCATTTTTTGAATTGAGCTATGTAATCTCTGATTACTTATGTTTATGAGTAGTGTTCAGCTTTAAGACAAAAGGATCTTTTATGAACATTGCATTCGTCATGGTGAATTTCTATACATTAAGTAACAGTCATAGTTTTCGTCTTTTTTAATTAGCGATCTCATTTTAAATGTGAGAAATAATTATTAAACTGAAATGTACATTTATGTTGTTTGATTTTTATTTTTTTGAAAATTGTAAATCAATTGCATGTTGTTGTTTTTTTTTTTCATTTTATTTTAGGGGATAGGAGTGGGGGTGCAGCTGTAAGTTTGAGTATATTTTCCAAAAGGATGTACATCGTTATTTTTGTTTAAATATCAATTTTAAAATGCAAAATGATGAGATATTAGACTACACATTTTTTCTTAAAACTTCATTTAAATTAATATATTTTGTTTAAAATAAGTAGCAACACCATGCAAGTTTTAGAGTTATTTGACAACTCACTAGATACTTGTTTTTTTTTTTTTTACATTTATGAAGATTGTCTCAAATTTTGAGGGTTTTTTTCTGTGTTCTACATTTATTGACATGTTTCTTATCTGTGTTCATCTTGTCGAGTAAATGAAAAGTTTGATTAAATTTTTTTTAAAAAATCAGGATCATCTCTTTTATTTATTATTATTAATTTACAATGAAATTATGTATGCTTTTGATGCATAATGTACACTTCAAATTCATGCACCAGCAGATTCAAAGGAAAAATTCTCATTAGAAATAAGCAGTTAAGATAAAGAGATTATCCAATTAAAAATAGTTTGAAAAATGTTTAAAACAAATTTTCAAGTATGTTATCAAAATAGGAAAAAGTATTATGAATATAGTTTGGTATTTTTAATAGTAAAAAAAAAGAGGATATGACGTACTGGCAATTGCATCATCTCACTCAGGGTCTTTACGTCAGAGTTCGGAAAAACAACCTCGAATGTATTAACATCACCTGATGTTAAAGGTTATGCTTTTTTTGTTTTTTTTTCAAATATAGGATAGAGGAAGTAAGAAGTCCCTTTTATAGTAAGTTTTATGTAATATCATAGCATTGAATAAAATTAAACTCCATATTCCACAGATAAAAGGTCTTCATGCATTTATTTCGAAGATCATGAAAAGGGGGGGGTTGTTGCCATGGCGTCTAACTAATACATTCGAGGTCATTTGTCAGCTAGTCAGAAAGGCTCGAGAAGATGCGATTGAACATAGTGGGGGTTCTTGTTCTTTTATTACCAGTCCCTGGTAGAGTTTTTTGATATTAGAACATACTGGGGTTTTCAAACACTTAAATTCATATGGTTACTGGTATCTGTTACATGAGAATACAGCGGGGTTGTTTGTTTAACACTCTGAGGTTACTAAGATGTCTAATATTTTCTATCAGAACATATTGTGGTTCTTGTCTAACACTTTGTGGGGTTAATGTTATCTTTTATTTATATAAGAACATAATGGGGTTGTTACACTTTATGGGGTTAGTGTTGTCTATTATCTTTATGAGAGTACATAGTGGGGTTGCTGTCCAAACACTTTATGGGGTTAGTGTTGTCTTTTATCTTAATAACAGTACATAGTGGGATTGCTGACCAAACACTTTATGGGGTTAGTGTTGTCTATTATCTTTATGAAAGTACATAGTGGGGTTGCTGTCCAAACACTTTTTGGGGTTTATGTTGTCTATTATCTTTATGAAAGTACATAGTGGGGTTGCTGTCCAAACACTTTATGGGGTTAGTGTTGTCTATTATCTTTATAAAAATACATAGTGGGGTTGCTGTCCAAACACTTTATGGGGTTAGTGTTGTCAATTATCTTTATGAAAGTACATAGTGGGGTTGCTGTCCAAACACTTTATGGGGTTAGTGTTGTGTATTATCTTTATGAGAGTACATAGTGGGGTTGCTGTCCAAACACTTTATGGGGTTAGTGTTGTCTATTATCTTTATGAGAGTACATAGTGGGGTTGCTGTTCAAACACTTTATGGGGTTAGTGTTGTCTATTATCTTTATGAGAGTACATAGTGGGGTTGCTGTCCAAACACTTTATGGGGTTAGTGTTGTCTATTATCTTTATGAGAGTACATAGTGGGGTTGTTGTCCAAACACTTTATGGGGTTAGTGTTGTCTATTATCTTTATGAGTGTACATAGTGGGGTTGCTGTCCAAACACTTTATGGGGTTAGTGTTGTCTATTATCTTTATAAGAACATAGTGGGTTGCTGTCCAAACACTTTATGGGGTTAGTGTTGTCTATTATCTTTATGCGAGTACATAGTGGGGTGGTTGTCCCAACACTTTATGGGGTTAGTGTTGTCTATTATCTTTATGATAGTACATAGTGGGGTTGCTGTCCAAACACTTTATGGGGTTAGTGTTGTCTATTATCTTTATGAGAGTACACAGTGGGGTTGCTGTCCAAACACTTTATGGGGTTAGTGTTGTCTATTATCTTTATAAGAATACATAGTGGGGTTGTTGTCCAAACACTTAATGGGGTTAGTGTTGTCTATTATCTTTATAAGAGTACACACTGGGGTTGTTTGTCTTATAATTTATGGGGTTAGTGTTGTCTGTTATTTCTATATAGCATAGTGGGGTTGTTTGTTTAACACTCTCTGGAATATTCTTGTCTATCATCTTTATGTGAAAACATGATGGGTTAATTTACTTTGATGCAACAGTTATCCTCAAATAAAAACATTTTTTTGCATTGTTACTGCTAGGCAGTAGTTGAAAAAAAGTTATTGCAATATCCGTTCTAAGTTCTTCAGATAAACAGTAACAATTTTAAGTACTTATAATTAGTTGCCCGTAAAGTTGACTTGATATTAAATAATTTATTTTTAACCCCACAAATATAGATCTTTAACCCCACAAATATAGACCTTTAACCCCACAAATATAGACCTTTAACCCCACAATATACCATTTGTTTGAATTCCTAATGATACCTCTCAAGTCACCACTGTACTATTAATAACCCCACAAAGCAAAATTATAACCCCGCACCTTCCGTAAAATGCACAATGTACCTCTCAACTGTATAGCTGTCCGTCCGTCCGTCTGTAAACTTTTCACATTTTCGACTTCTTCTCAAGAACCAATGGGCCAATTTTAACCAAACTTGGTACAAAGCATCCTTAGGTAAGGGGGGGTTTAAATTGTTAAAATGAAGGGCCAAGTCCCCTTACAAGGGGAGATAATCAAGAAAAGGCTAAAAAGGGTGGGGTCACTAAAAAATCTTCTTCTCAAGAACCACTGGGCCAGGAAAGCTGAAACTTATGTGGGAGCATCCTTGGGTAGTGTAGATATTAAATTGTTAAAATCGTGACCCCCGGGGGTAGGGCGGGGCCACAATAGGGAATCCAAGTTTTACATAGAAATATATAGAACAAATCTTTAAAAATCTTCTTCTCAAGAACCAGTGGGCCAGGAAAGCTGAAACTTATGTGGGAGCATCCTTGGGTAGTGAAGATATTAAATTGTTAAAATCATGACCCCTGGGGGTAGGGCGGGGCCACAATAGGGAATCCAAGTTTTACATAGAAATATATAGAACAAATCTTTAAAAATCTTCTTCTCAAGAACCACTGGGCCAGGAAAGCTGAAACTTATGTGGGAGCATCCTTGGGTAGTGAAGATATTAAATTGTTAAAATCATGACCCCTGGGGGTAGGGCGGGGCCACAATAGGGAATCCAAGTTTTACATAGAAATATATAGAACAAATCTTTAAAAATCTTCTTCTTAGAAACCACTGGGCCAGGGAAGCTGAAACTTATGTGGAAGCATCCTTGGGTAGTGTAGATATTAAATTGTAAAAATCATGACCCCCATCATGACCCCCGGGTGTAGGGCAGGTCCACAATAAGGAATCCAAGTTTTACATAGAAATATATAGAACAAATCTTTAAAAATCTTCTTCTCAAGAACCACTGGGCCAGGAAAGCTGAAACTTATGTGGAAGCATCCTTGAGTAGTGTAGATTCTAAAGTTTTAAAATAAAAAAGGGAAGGGGGTTGTTGGGCATGATAGGTATAGCAAGAGGGGGAATCTGGTAAAGATCTGCATCACCTAAGTGACTCAGGTGAGCGATGTGGCCCATGGGCCTCTTGTTAAGAATTCAATTTAAAGAAATTTTTCAAGATATTTTCATCAAACGTCATACACTAACACAATTTTTCATATTGCATTACTTATATATTCTCGGTGGGGTTGATAAAACTGGGTATATTGTAATGTTTTTCTCCTTAAATGAATTTTTTTTTATAATGTGCAAGTCATTTGGAAAATGTGCTTTAGATATTGAATATGATTTAAGAAGGAATCCAACTAAGATATTTATAACTAAGTATTTACTTTAATGAAAATTTTATTTTCTGTAAATAAATCATTTAAAGGCCATTCTTCATGAAAACAAAGTACTTGAAAAGTCTGGTTGGTACTACAGATAATATGAAAATGTCTTGGAAAAATTTTTTTTATTCCATGTACCTATACTTTTCATTTTTCAGTATAAAGTACTGTATGAATTCGATATCTTGAGTAGCTTTGCTTGGTTTCGAAAGTAGCTTAAAGAGCAAAGTTTATCCTATATTTAATGCATTTTATCCTTAATTAATTTTTCAAATCCTGGGATATCTCTAGTGTTTAGTTTCCTAAATTAGAGATAAAAAGATTTTTACAAGATATATATCAATTGGGGGAGGTGGGTACAATCCACAGAAATGCCACCCTTGTGAATACTTGTTTATGTTGCAGTTGAAACAAATTAAATTAATGCAAAGAGGAGTGATATGCCTTTTACTCCTAAGTCAGGTATAGCCACTAACCAAAAGGTTAGGGGTCATACAAAATGTAAATTTTGAATAATATTTTATTTCCCTTCATTTGCAAAATCTGTTTATCAAATCAAATCATGACAGTATTGAGATCTACCAGATGGCTTGGCTATCACATTATTGTTAATCCCTTTGAAGTTTAATTAGTTAATCTCTTAAGTCAATAAAGTTGCCTAATTATCTATACCTGAGGCACGACAGGTGTGACAACAATTATCACTCTACCTGTCCATGTCACTGTACTCTTTCATTGACAAGGCATTTGAGTAAATCATATTAATTACTTAGATCAACTCAAAAGCAATTATATATGTATATGTAAAATGTTGAAGAGTTAGTCTAGGTTAGAGAGTCTAAGTCGGAGAGTCAGAGTTAGAGTGTGTTAGCTAGAGTTAGGACATGCAGCTAGCCGTCCCAGTCATAGATGTGTATATATAATGTACTTCTGTAATAAAGACTGAAAAAGACATTCCTACTTATGTCTTAATCCTTGAAGGTTTTATGTCAAGGACAGTAACCAAGTCTAATGGTTACTGCGTGACCGAGTGTTGTAGGGTGCACTACTTATTCCAAGTGGACCCCTAGTCCCCTACCCTCCCCGACGGCTATCGTAAAACAGCACGATGGGGGTATATATATTGTAAACAAGTTTCACACCTTCTTTTGTTTACAAAGAATCAAAATAATCAACTGGAATTTCATGGATTAATATAATATTTAAATCAGAGACATCAATAAATATATAATGTCTCTGGTAAAAAGACCGCATATTCTGACTTGAAATGTAAACATGTATGTATGTCTTACGATTAAATCCTGCTGTATCATATACGAAGGTATAAAAGAAAGAAGAAAATTAAAATTAACAGCCAATATTAAATATAAATAGAGAGTTTAATAGGGTGCTTGGTTGCCCGGAACGTTTTTTACGGCCGGAACCAATCTTACGCGGGCCGGAACGTTTATTATGGCCCGGAACCAATATCATAAGTATTTAGCGTTCCGGCCGGAACGCCAAGTTACCCGGAACGTATATTATGCGACACCGGTCACACAGGAATGGGGTATGAAAAAAGTTTTTTTATGAACTTAAAAAAAATCCTTCCACTCATACATCTTTGAATACTGGAGAAAAATACTGTCCAAGAGTTATGTGTATAAGAGTTTTCATTAATACTTATAATAAGGACCAGAAACGCATAAGAATTGCGGCCAGTATTGCTGTATATGACATAAATCAAGACATAAGACAGATATATACAATGTAGTTTACAAAACTGCATGGAATGCTCTAGATAGAGGCCCATTTCATCGATAGTCATATATGTAATTAGTACATTTTTGAATCAGCTTTAGTCATGTAGTATGATAATGATTAAATTTTAGAAGCATGAGTTTGCCTCTTACAAAAAGTATATTTATGTCTATACACATGTAGTGCAGTCTATATTACAGGTACAACACTTATCTATATTTTAAGGTCATTTAAACATATTAGGTGAAATATTGTTACATGTACAAGTATCTGTTTTGCACTTGGCTATGTTTTGGTTAGCATTCAGTTAAACATTTGAACATCTTTGGCTGTTGAACTGTTCAAACATTTTTAATATTTATATGTAGCTATAAACATGATAAATATAGCTGGATTATGATTTCATAAATACAATACATACAATAAATTTGTACTATATATAATTTGAATATTTCAGGTATGGAAAATCAGAAGACACTGTAAAGGATAATGTAGAGTAAGTAATTAAAGTAAATTACAGTGTAAAATGTATTTTTGTTTTAATTATGGGCCCATAATCACATTAAATGTGTCTATATATATGTAATATTTGTATCAATATAGTCTTCAACATGTTCATGAAAATTGGTTTTTCTAGCTATACCTTAATACTTTAAAAGAGTAATTAATTAATGTATTAATGTATGAAACAATTTAATACTTTCTAAGCATTAAATTTATCCATATTATCAATAGAAAGAATACTATTTCCATTGCATTTGAATCAGAAGACACAAGGCCGTTGGGAGCAAAGTCAACGAACTTGAAAACAATGTAGATACAGAGAACAGCTATGATAATGTTGAGAAAATGGAAGATGACATCATCATTGAGAACAGAGAAGAGGAAGTTGAAAATCAGGCTGTATCAAGCCAGGATAGTGAGTGATCAATATTTCATATCAAAGTTTTTAGAAATAAAATTTTCTTATAAATTTTAAGTGATTGTTAGTACACAGTGTAAATACTTCAGTTCTTTCCCCTTCAGGAATACAAACAGATTTCATAAACAGTCATGTGAGTAGAACCGAACATCATTTGTTACATTATTATCATAATTTATTAAGTGTTAACAAATACCAGGTAGATAAGGTTGTCAAAAATTATCACATTATCTTGTTGTTCTTAAATTTTTAAAATGTCAATTAATTTTTTTTTTTTATTATCGTTTCAGTTGTAAAAAAGTAAATGTATTCATTTAATTTCCATGTAATATGCAGGTAAACAGTGTTGTTGCATATTTGGAGGAGATTATGGACTGCTCTGTACAAGACTGGTATATAATTAAAATAATGCTTTTGTTTCATTGCCATACCATTTTTTTAAAATTCAAATTCGAATGTCCAGTCATCTTGAATGTTTAATTTTACAGTGAAGAAGTTGATCATGCACGTCATCATCAGTTCATAAAAAATCCTTATTTGATGTACAAGGAGTTTACAAAAAAGTTCTGTTTTGGGGAGAAATTTATAAGCTCAGAGGTAAGTATACATTTATATTACTTTGTGGGATTTTGGATGTAATCTGTCACTTTTAATTGCTCTATCTGCTTTTGTGTTTTATTGTGTTTTGTTCATGAGTCAGATTGTTACATCTGTTGAAGGTTATGGAGCATCTACAAACAGTGCTGACAGAAAAAATGTGTGTCAGCAAGCCAGTACCTGGGTAATTTTGCTAGTTTCTCCTTAAGTTTTTTATTATGCCCCGCCATGAATATGGCGTATAGTGTTTGTCATGTCCGTCTTCCGTCCTTCTGTCCTTCCGTCACACTTTGTGTTTAGCTCTGTTCAAAGCTAAGTTTCAAAGAAACTATCCAAGACATGTTCATCAAACTTCATATGCTGGTAGATATTGATGAGAGCTATGCAACTGCATCAACATTTTTTGACCTTGACCTTTCTTTTGACCTTGACCTCTCTTTTCTTAACTTAGTGTTTTGCTCAGTTTTAAACATACCATTCAAGATGGTGTTATCAAACTTCACATGTTGAAACAAACTTGCACGGATGATGCATCTAGGGATGAACACTACCAGACTTGCTTCGGATGCTGGATCTGACCTAAAATTTCATTCCCTAGTAACTATAAGCCCTACCTGAACCAAACTTGCATGGATGATGCATCTAGGGATGGACACTACCAGACTTGCTTTGGATGCTGGATCTGACCTATATTTTTATTCCCAAGTAACTATAAGCCCTACCTGAACCAAACTTGCATGGATGATGCATCTAGGGATGGACACTACCAGACTTTCTTCGGATGCTGGATCTGACCTATATATTCATTCCCAAGTAACTATAAGACCTACCTGAACCAAACTTGCATGGATGATGCATATAGGGATGGACACTACCAGACTTGCTTCGGATGCTGGATCTGACCTATATTTTCATTCCCAAGTAACTATAAGCCTTACCTGAACCAAACTGATCAAATTTTATACACATACAAATTTTCATGTTGCTTTACTAATATATCCTTGGCGGGGCATTCATGTCCTATGGACATATTTCTAGTTTAACATTATGTATTGATTTCCATGTACATTTGCCTTTTGCACTAAAGTCATAAAATGACTTTCAGGTCCATCTTCAAAAGATACAGTTCATATCAACACCTGCAAAATCAACACCTGGAAAAAATCCTGATAGAAAACATGTTGTAAGTTTTTGTTCTTTTCCATGAAATTTGAGCCTCTATGTACATGTTATTTTCACCTTATTTGCATAGGTCATCTGTGGGAATAATTTAAAAGGGATATAAGTTAAGATTAACTCATATCGCTTTGTATACAACTGTGTGTTGAAGAATTATTTGAAGGTGTGAAAAAGCACGATATGTAGATAATAACGTTTAACTCTTTACAACTTATTGAACTGTTATGCAACAAACACTTAATGTTAACGTCATAGAAATAGAAATTTACCATTTCCCCGCAAGCACCTTTTAGCGTGGTACAGGTTTCTCTAAAGTTTAGCGTAAATAATATTTTGACGTTATATTTTAATACAGAAATAACTTTTTTATTTTATGAGATTTTTGCAAATATAAAATAGAAGGAAATCGGCAATGAATTAAAGATTAAATGAACTTTTTAAAGTGCGTGAAAATGCGTGATTGCGGGGAAACGGTATATGCGTGATTTTGCGTTAGAAATAGGAAATGGTATATGCGTTAAAATGCGTGACTGCGGGGAAGGGGGTTAAAAGTAAACAATATATAAATTTAATTTTGTATTTTGAAGCAATGTGATCTTATTTCTTTCAACCTCATTTAAAAATTTCTTATTTGCGTTTTTTTAATTTCAGTATGGGTGTGTATTACATGAACCTGGTTTTGATTAAAGAGGCCATAGTATATCTTATATGTAAGAGAAGTGGCCTACCATATGAAGCAGCAGATGAGAGATGCACTCTCACAGAGCGATCAGTACAGGATCAAATTACTAAAAAATATACCTGAATTCCATTTTATTTTAACTCTGATGACCAATGAAACTTTCATCATTACAACTACATAAATCATGATTTCATAATAATATTAAAAATCTTACCCCCCGTTCACACACAGACGCCGCTTCTACTACGATCAAAGCGTGGCTGAAAGCGTGGCCGATCGTGAAAAATCGCAGGAGAAACGTCTTGCAGTCGTCATAAGCGTAGTATGTTCGCAGTAGGGTCTTCATGATCGGAGAGCTCTACGCTCTCATCACGCTTATTTTGAACATGTTCAAAACAAGCGTAGCGGGATCGTGGCCAACAAAAATCGGGGTTAAGTCGTAAAAAGAGCGTAGTAGTAGCGCCGTAATCGTACAAGCAGCGCGGAAGCATCGTAGAGAGATCTTCGTGATCGTAGTAAAAGCGCTGTAAGAGCGTAGGAACTTACCAAGTTCATACAATGCTCCCTCTACGTTCGTACTACGTTCTCACTACGATCGCTCTACGTTCCTGAAGATCCTACGAAGACCTTCAATGACCTTACGCCGATCATATCACGACCTATTAGACAGGAGTTTGTTCTTATAGCGCTTTATCATCAGTAAACTACATGTAAAGGGTGACACTATACTTGACGATCATTTGCAATTGAGAATTTTCACATCTTGTTACAGTTAAAATTGAAAATGCCCTTAAACCATATGGTAAAGACCGCAAAAAAAAAAAATGCGGTCGCAATAGTATCATCGCTAAAATCGTAGTACAAAAATCTGCGGTTGCAAGATATATAGATTTACATCATCGTCAAAATCGTACTAGAAGCGTAATGCAATCGTATCATGATAGGTACCACCGTAGCGACATCGCTGTGCAGTCATCTAGGTCTGCGTAGTAGTCCTAGTATGGTCTTGAATGTCGTAGTGGCAGCGTAGCAAACGCAGTAAACACGGCCGCTTGTCGCCAACGGTACTGCGTAACATCGTACTAGAAGCGTGTTAGCATCGCATTTGGCGTAGCGACATCGTAGTATGGTAGTCGCGAAAACCATAATTTGCGAAAATTGCTCCATTTAGACGCCGATCGGCTGCGACTCTTAAAAAAATTAAGATCGTGGCTTGATCGGGATGATCGCCGTAGAGTCGCAGCTCTGTGTGAACGGGGGGTTAGTATAGGTGTATCACATGGATTTTTCTTACAAATTACAATGCAAAAAAATACAATGTATCAATAGCTTAAGTACAGGTATATCAATTAATAGTGTGCTCAGTAGAATGTATTGATAGCCTAATACTTTATCAGGTCTGGACGATTTCTAAATATGGAAGTCAAGAACGATAACCGAAAGTTGCTATAAATGTACATCAAGTACACGTAATTATTTTTCTGTCCAATCAGACAACAGCATTTTTACACACCCCAAAACATATTTTAAAAGAACAAAAAGAAAACACGTGCTATTGTTTTTTCCTCAAAAAGATTTTTTTAACATAAAATCTGTAGAGGTAAGATGAAAACTTTTGAAGAATAAGGTATTCCCCACTTTTTTGCCGTGAACAACCTTGACATTTTTATCTCGGTAAAGAAAAAAATAACGCACTGTAGAATGTAATCATTTACAGAGGTATATATATAGATCGCACCAGCAAGTTTTTATCAAGTTCAATTATAACATTTACCAGAATATATTATATGATGGTAAATATAATTTTGCTTAGCCGTCCGATTTTCATCGATAATGCTTAAATTCCATGTGTATAGATCAACTCACACAAGTGTTTATCGTATGGAGTATACACATATAGTTTTGCATTATCAAGGGTTTCATGAGCGCCGAATACTTAGCTATGCAGACTTTAAATGGGCATAAGGAAAGGCGTTTAACGTGGAGAGAAGAGAATCCTGTAATTATACATGAATGCGTTTTATCCCAATATCTTACCTCTCGCATATCAGAAACTGCATGGACTACTAGTATTCTGTAACAAACACTAAAAAATAATAAAGACTGTTATCTTTTCGATAAGATTTTTATGTCAGGCTCTAAAAACTGAAAATTTACCGTATTTATATCAATTTTGTAACGTAATTAAACTTTTGGGATTGCTAACTCCTAGAGACAATTTTTTTTTATCCCACTTAAAACGTATTCCAAGCTTTCAAGTCGTGTTTGTTCACGGTAGAATTGTCATAAATATTAAATCATTCCCAAATGCGCATAAAGTTTACAAAAAGTTTGTTCTAAAAAAATCTTTTGAGCAAAAAACGTAAAAGCCACGTGTTTTATTTATTCTCTCATGGGTTTGTCTAAATGCTGTTATCTGATTGGTCAGAAGGATTAGTGCCTTGTTTATTCTGTGTATTAATAGCAATTCACGGTTATCGTTCTTGACTTCCTTATTTAGAAATCGTCCAGACCTGTTTATAGATACAAATGTGTCACATATATTGTACTTGGTAGACTGTATCAATAGCCTAGGGCACTGGACCCTTACCTGTCATGTAGTACTCAGTACTGAGTAGACCGTATCAATAGCCTAGGGTACTGGACCCTTACCTGTCATGTAGTACTCGGTAGACCGTATCAATAGCCTAGGGTACTGGACTCTTACCTGTCCTGTAGTAAACGGTAGACCATATCAATAGCCCAGGGCACTAGACCTTTACCTGTCATGTAGTACTCGGTGGACCGTATCAATAGCCAAGGGTACTTGACTTACCTGTCCTGTAGTACTAGGTAGACCGAATCAATAGCCTAGGGTACTGGACTCTTACCTGTCCTGTAGTAATCGGTAGACCGTATCAATAGCCTAGGGTACTCAGGACCCTTACCTGTCTTGTAGTACTCAGTAGACCGTATCAATAGCCTAGGGTACTGGACCTTTATCTGTCATGTAGTACTCGGTAGACCGTATCAATAGCCTAGGGTACTGGACTCTTGCCTGACCTGTAGTACTCGGTAGACCGTATCAATTGCCTAGGGTACTGGACTCTTACCTGTCCTGTAGTACTCAGTAGACCATATCAATAGCCTAGGGCACTAGACCCTTACCTGTCATGTAGTACTCAGTAGACCGTATCAATAGCCTAGGGTACTTGACTCTTACCTGTCATGTAGTATTCGGTGGACCGTATCAATAGCCTAGGGTACTGGACTCTTACCTGTCCTGTATTAATCGGTAAACCCTATCAATAGCCTAGGGTACTGGACCCTTACCTGTCTTGTAGTACTCGGTAGACCGTATCAATAGCCTAGGGTACTGGACCTTTACCTGACATGTAGTACTCAGTAGAATGTATCAATAGCCTAGGGTACTGGACTCTTACCTGACCTGTAGTACTCGGTAGACCGTATCAATAGCCTAGGGTACTGGACTCTTACCTGTATTGTAGTACTAGGTAGACCATATCAATAGCCTAGGGCACTGGACCCTTACCTGTCATTTAGTACACGGTAGACCATATCAATAGCTTAGCGTACTTGACTTTTACCTGTCCTGTAGTACTCGGTAGACCGTATCAATAGCCTGTGGTACTGGACTCTTACCTGTCCTGTAGTAAACGGTAGACCGTATCAATAGCCTAGTGTACTGGACTCTCACCTGTCATGTAGTACTCGGTAGACCGTATCAATAGCCTGGGCACTTGACCCTTACCTGTCATGTAGTACTCAGTAGACCATATCAATAGCCTAGGGTACTTGACTCTTACCTGTCATGTAGTAATCGGTAGACCGTATCAATAGCCTAGGGTACTGGACTCTTACCTGTCCTGTAGTACTCGGTAGACCGTATCAATAGCCTAGGGTACTGATCTCTTACCTGACCTGTAGTACTCTGTAGACCGTTCAATAGCCTAGGGTACTGGACTCTTACCTGTCTTGTAGTACTCTGTAGACCGTTCAATAGCCTAGGGTACTAGTCTCTTACCTGTCTTGTAGTACTCAGTAGACCGTATCAATAGCCTAGGGTACTGGACTCTTACCTGACCTGTAGTACTCTGTAGACCGTTCAATAGCCTAGGGTACTAGTCTCTTACCTGTCTTGTAGTACTCAGTAGTCTGTATCAATAGCCTAGGGTACAGGACTCTCACCTGTATTGTTGTACTCAGGTACTCAATGGAATGTATCAATATCTTTTGTTATATGTATTATACTATTCTGTTATTTTTTGTTGCATTAAAGTGATCTACTTTTCAACAGCCTTGTTTAATTTTATTGTACTCAGAGGGAAGTACATATCATCAGCGCCAGAAAGTAAATGCTGTTATTAGTTTGATTATTTCAGTTCAAGTGAGCTTTTGAAATATTTTGAATAAATGTTTCATATTTTCTTCTTTTTTGTTTTATTTTATGGTGTTAATTTTTGTATTATTAAGCAAATAGATTATTATGCTGTTATTTATTTACTAATTAAACAGATTACATTTTATTGAGTGTTGGTTTTCTATATGTTAAATTGATATTTATGTTTCCGTCCTCATCACTCTCATTTAAGTTAAATTTTTAAATTATTTTCTCATTTAAATGTTCTTTTTTTTGTAATATTCTTTTCTTTAGTTTTCATATTTATTTACGATTCTTTTGAATATTCTATTTTGATGAATAAGTATTTCCCTGATGTTAATCTACCGATTGAAATAGCTTAAAATCATTTTTTTCCCTCAAAAAATAACTAATTCATTTATTTTAGGCATGAAATTTAACGTTAAATCGGTGTTTAATGCATTAAAAACAAAACATTGAGATGGTTTTGATTAAAAAAAAAAACATTCCGGAAATAATATAAACCACCGGGTTTCTTCTAATCGTTAGAGACATCTCATAAATATTCATAACTACGCTAGGCTCGTGATACTCAACCAGCGTTCCAGTATGCAGTTGTACACTGGACATGCTAAGGTTGGATACAAAATGTATTGCCCGTAATATTCGACAAACACTACTAACAGCCATGAAACGAAAAAAAAGTAGGCAAGCTTTATCAATAATGTTCTGTTTTCTGTTGTCTTAAAAGCAAAGTGTTTGAAAAATTATGTTTAAAGATGGATAGAAAAGAATGCAAGAAGAAGGATGCAATGAAGAATCAGTTGCCCTTTTTAATTTATTTCTAAAACTGAACGCTTTTTTATTGTTTATTTGTGCAAATTTTTGACAATCATCAACTAATTCTGGACAGAAATAATACATTTTACCCCACCTCTGTCGATTTTTCCGTGAAATCCTGGCTTACGATTGGTTGAAATCTGTCACGTGAAGGCGGTGGATTTCTTATACCCGGTCAGTTGTAATGTAATAGTGATAGTTTTATACTATTTTAAATATTATCATATTCAAATGTATAATTTAATAATTATACATTTATGAATTAGTCACAACTGATTTTAAACTCTAAAGTGTATTAAATCTGTGTGTCAATCAATATTGACCCAAACAAATAATTTAAACTTAAATATTGAAACCTTTCACTTAAATAATTAATCAAATAAAATACTTTTTAAATAACTAAATAAAACAAACTAAATGAAATAAAATAAACAATCAGCTAAAACTTTAGATCCACTCCTTTTTCTTTTTCTACACCTGTAATAAGCTACCTGAGTAGAATTCAATTTCCTTAAATCCTATTGGTCAAGACTTTTACCTCCAAATTCTGGACAATAGACAAAGACACTTTTCAGCGACTTTGCATGAGTTAACATGCTATTGCAAATGATCTTTAATTTATGAAATTTGACTGACTGTTTCAAAGAAACTGTAAGTACTCATATAATTTACTTTTTAAAATACATAACTTAAAATCAAATACTTTTATATTCATAATTTCTGATTTCTGAAATTAATAAACTGAATGAGAGATTTTTGGAGTGAGAGATAAAATTTATTTTGCAGAGTCCAGAATTATTTATTTATTGCTTATACTGATATACTCTGCTGCAACTTATTTAAAGAAGCTAGGAGTCAAGCTTTGTTCCACAAATAGGTACCAATTTATATATTTTTGCAATACAGATTTACTATTTTATTCTGAGAATTGTAAATGTGATATTTAATAATAATTTCCATTTAATATATTGTCAACATAAAGAATCTATTTTCTATATGAATGTTTAATATCAGCTTTACATGTATTTCATGGTATTTTATAAAAGTCTGATTCAAGGGGAATAACTTGTGAATTCCTCAAATGCTATGTATTGATGTTTTATGATTTATTATAATGTGAAATTAGTTATTGTTATATCCTGATTAAATATGTATTGTATTTTCAGGGCTATGATCATGATGATCATGATGATTTTCTTGTATCAGATGACTCCATAATAAACCAATATAAACGAACCCGCAGGTGTTATTATTCATCAACAACCCCTGTTACAAAATGGCGCCCATGTAGGGACTGGTGATACTTGGTCTGGTTCGACTGTGATAATTCTGGGACATCGACATCGAGGGAGAATGGACAATTATTGAACTGAAAACTTCTTCGATATTATAGATTGCCATATATGCAAGTATTTAGTTATATGTGCACACATTTTATTTTGTTTTATAAAATTCACTTAGCATGCTTTAATTGATATTGTTTGCAATACCAGAGAGTATTTTTTTTTCTTTTCAAAGATTATTTTTTTTTTCACACTCCTTTATTTTGTATTTGTGTGAACTTAGTTTTTTTTTATATTATTTTTTTTTGCTTTCATTTGAATTATTTGTCACGTGGTGAGAAAGGTGAGAAAGATCAGAGAGAATGAAGTAATACTAAATACATAAGATCACTAATTCCTATTTTTCTACTCATTGACTTCTATCTGACCTATCAGTGACCTTGAGTGACCTTTGACCTGATAAAATTTATTACATTTGATTTTTGGTAAAACTAGACCAAAAGATTTAAGTTAAATTTGTTTTTTAATTTAAAAACTTCTCATTTCTAAATTATAATTCAAACTTATTTAAATTAAAAAAATCCCATTCCTAAACATTCAGTAATTTAACCTAAACTTAAAAAAATAATAACTTCACAGTTTATGTTTGATGAGTTTACATAAATTAGAACAACTTGTAACGAATAATCCAGTACAATTAACAGGTCATAAATATAAGCAACCAATATTAGTGTCTGATAGTAAGGGATTTACAATCAGAAATAATTACAAAGGGAGATTTCCCGTAGAACTCTGGTGTCACCCTGGTGCTTCTACAAAATTTTTAGTTGACCAATTAGAGAAAAACATTGTACCTGCTTTAAAATATCATCAAAATATTGTCTTTTATTTGTGGTCAGGTACTTGTGACATCACACAGAAAAGTGGAAAATTTGTCAGTTTAAAGAGTACAAACACAGAACAGGTTGTGCAAGATATTACTTTTCAGTTTAATAGAGCTTTTAATATTGTACAACAGTATAGTCCATGTGCTTCTTTAAAAATTCATTATTGTCCTTTGTTGTCCATTAGTCAGTGGATTAGTTTCAAGGGGTGTCCTGACACAGAAAAATTTAAAGAGGAAGACAAATTAACCACTGAACAAATAATTGCTCTGAATTCTGAGATACAAACTATCAATTTCCAGTATTCTCAAAATACAGTTAAAACTAGTAAATTTTATTTTAGAAGTAGAAAAGCTAAGGGCAAAGCTGCTAGACACTCAGTGAATTTAACACTAAATTATGATGGGATTCACCCTGGTAATATTTTAAGTTTGGCCATCATTTAGGAAATTTTACAAGATGTTCAGAAGGAATGTTTTGATTAAAATGAACATGTAATTTATCTCCATATACAGTGAGCGTCTGTACATACATGTTGTAGACGTGGTCAGGCGTTGTTGAATTTCTGATTGAGATTTTCCGTTTGTCAAGTTTAATATGTGTAAAACTTACAACTTAGGTATTTATGTCTAAAGTACAATCCATATTGACTCGGTATTAATTAGGTGTGTTAATCTCATCAATTAAGGAAAGTCAATCTCTATGTTATTGACCTTACCAATAATTAGGTGAGTCAATCTCATCAGTTATCAAAGGGTCAGTAACTCTGCATGTCTTAAAGTATTATTTTGGTTACTTTGTATTAAATACAAATACAAAGTATATTTCCGTACAACCTTTCCGCTTATTTATTTTAATGCATATGTAAGTGCACATATATATAGTGTATTTCGTGCAGTTTTGCGCATGCGATTTTTATACTGTGCGGTTTCTTTGTATGTGATTATTATTGTTTTTTGTTGATAGACATTAGTGTGCGTGTACATATTTTATCAGTCAAAAATGGCTGCAAAGAACCCCGAAACTGACAAACATCTTAAAGAAGAACAAGAGGAACAAGAAGAACAAGCGGTCACACAAGCTGACATAAAGGTCATGGTTGATTTCTTAAAACAAAACACCAATTATAAAATTCTTACAGAGGAAGAATTTCAAGAACTTTCTCATGTTCCAGATGAGTTAGAACTTCCACGCTTACCTTCCTCTACTCCAAAGCCTCATATTAAGACAGAATCACCCAAATTCAGTTTTAATAATGACCCAATACCTGCTTCATTTTCAACACATACCTCATTGTCCATTTCCCATCCAAAAATTCCTATATTTTCAGGGGAAGAAAAATCCGAAACATCTTTTGAAGTTTGGAAATTTGAGGTCAAATGTATTCTTAAAGAAAGAAATTTCTCCCTACCTATTACATTACAAGCAATTAGAAATTCTTTAAAGGGAAAGGCTAGGGGGTTATTACTCTCTCTATCAGAGGAGGCAACTCCTGCAGACATTATAGAGAAATTAGAAGGTGTTTTTGGTAATGTGTATGACAGCGAAACAATTATGCAAAATTTTTATATGCAACGCCAAGAAGCAAATCAATCTGTGGCTGAATATGGCATTAAATTAGAATCAGTTTTACAATCAGCTGTAGAAAAGGGCCATATTAGCAAAGAAGCCAGAAATGACATGTTGAGAAATAAATTTTGGTCAGGATTAAGAGATTCAGAATTGAAAAATGCTAGTAGGTATAAATATGAAACTGTAAAAGATTTTGACACTTTACGCAAAGAGATAAGAGCAATAGAATTAGAAATTTCAAATTCAAAAGCAAACAACACAGATAGCCCAACTTCAAAAAGAAATGTAGCTCACAATCCTTTAACATCTACAGCAGACCCTACTAACAAAGTTCTAGAGAATATCCTCAAGAAAATGGAAAAGATGGACCAAAAGATGAGTACATTTGAAACTAGATTATCTGAGATTAATAGATCAGGGGGAGATAATTCATTGAGAGGAGGACACAATCATGGAAGATTCCAGTACAACAGAGGTGCTACCAACTATAGTAGAGGTGCCGGTAAATTTTATCAGCAACAGAAAAACCAATCATTTGGATATGACCAAACATCACCAAATTATAACAGAGGATTTTCCAGAGGCAGATCATTCAGAGGTGCCAGAGGTTTCGGCAGAGGCTATTCCAACCGAGGAATTCCACCTCCTGATAATAACAACATAGAAAATCGAAAAAACTAGAAAATGTCTGTATTGTGGAGCAAATAACAGACATAGATCATGAAACACAACAAAGCTCCAATTCTGAAAATTTTGAAGAAATAAAATGTGATATTTGCAATCAATTTGGTCATTCTGATTTATATTGTAAAGTTAGGAAAGATCATTTAAGATCCGATCACAAAAGGCCTCACAATATTAAAAATTATAGACAAACAAATAGAACATGTACTCTAGTAGGTACAACTAATGAAGTCTCTATTAATATTGATAGTGTCATTACAACAGCACTTGTTGATACAGGTTCTTCTATCTCAACAATTTGTCAAAATTTTTATGAAGAACATCTACACCATTTACCTTTGAAACCTGTGACAGATTTTCTGCACATTGAATGTGCAGATGGCCAAACTTTGCCATATTCAGGTTATATACAATGTCCTTTGAAAATCAATGGCATAGGTGATGACCAATTGTCAATAGATGGTTTATTTCTCATCGTACCTACAACATCTTACAATAACAGTGTTCCTGTTTTAATAGGTACAAATATCATCTCTGTATTAATGAACTTAGTCAAAGAA